AAGTTGGGTTGGGTTGGGTTTATACCTTATCATGAATCTGAGTTTGATTTTGTTCTGCGTCAATCATGGAATATTGGATTGAAACAATTAGACTAATTATTGTTATCGGTTGTGTTTAAGTTAGTTAATAATTTCATCATGGTGTATGCATAGCGCTATAATCTATACCATATAAACAGACGTTGCTTTAACTTGTTGGTATTGTGTTAATTTAAGTCTATATTTATACCATTATAACCATAATGGTAATAAAAATTATAATGGTTATTACCTGAAAGATATGTTACAAACAGTTGTAAACACGTTCAGACGGGGTTCAAACAGATATGAACGCGTTCAGTCAGGTTTAAACATGTTCAGACTTGTTGAATCGAGATCATACGATTCCAGGAAAACATGGTATGCTGTTCTGTAAACCGGCATAGTGTCATCACTTTAATATTGTCTAACATCTAATTAATCATATATTATATTATAATTTATGAATTAAGATATAACACTACTTTTTTACCCTACTAGATATATAGTAACCAGTATAGTATTAGTACTACTATTTCTTAGAAATGGCGGCTATATATTCGATGTTAATTATACACAGACGGCATCGTAATTATTTTCATAAAATACAAATGCTTATGAGTGTTATAGTATAGTAATACCTTTGATAATGGAAATATGATCACCTATAATAATATAATATATATTACGAATGTGAACCGGAATGAATACAAGCGCCGTCTTTATACAAATGATTCTATAATTATAATTAAATCATAATAAAATTAAAAAAAAAAAAATATATATTAAACACATACCTTATCATGAATCTGAGTTTGATTTTGTTCTGCGTCAATCATGGAATATTGGATTGGGTTGGGCTGTGGTCGATTTTCGATATTTATGTAATAATCAACCATACTCCAAATATCAGGCAATAATTCTTGAGACTGTGAAAATAGAGTAATTGAATTAACAAAACATACATAGAGATTTAAAAATGACTTACCATATCTTGTGAAAATTGTTAAATTTTTATATTATTTAGAATATTAGCAAATTCGTATTCACCAAGTACTGGAGACAGCAGATTAGTTTTCATATTATGTAGTAATTTTTAAAAATTCTTCGCTTATACCCTTTTACTCGATGACTGTGATCACACAGACTCTCGTTCAATTTTATAGCATGATTTTTAAAATGATGATTTATCATTTTTAATTACTCTGCGATTGGATGAAAATTTATTGACACTTTCAAAATATTTGCTGGAGTGGGTTACAAGAGATGATTAACGGTTTTGAAATTTGCTGATTGCACTTTATTTAAATGCTAACTGTGTCACTTCCATTTTACATGAAGTAAAAGTCTATTAGATATTTAATCATCGTTCTATCTGTTATCGTTTAATTTTTATTTTTAAAATATTATGCATCGTGAGAAATTATCATTTGAGATCACTATAAAATAATCAACAAGTATGAGATTATAATAATTTTTATTTTATTTTCATAAACAACATTTTTACAAATGACACATTCAAATGTTTTCAGGATTTTTTTTCTCCATTATTACTGCAATTTTTTCATCCATAAAATCAAAAATATCGTTTCAGCATCCCCATTTTTTCAATTTGTTCAAATGAATGCATTACACCGTTGTTAGGATACTCTTCATCATTGTCGTTATCTCATTGATACTTTGATTGATATAAATTGGTATTATTTATAAAATAACATACATAGTTTAACGCTTAATAATTTTAAAATAGAAATAAATATTTATCCTTTAACTGCACAATTATTCATTGTGTTTAAAATATTCTGATTTGTTTGATTATTAAAATCCACTACGAATTTCTCCCATATACGCTTCACTATGCATTTGTAATTGAATGTGATTATTTCATTATACAATACCATCGACGTCTTTGGTAATAACGACGTATTAATGGTTTTTACAATTGAATAGACTAAATTTTCAGGTAACAAATAAAACTTATTTATCACCATATCCGTTGCTTTTTTATTGATTTCTTTACTCTGCATTGATAGCAAGTTACAAGTTTCGTATTTTTCTTTTATCACTTCTAGAAGACATAGTTTCATTTCGTTTCTTTCAAAATAGGTTTTCGTTAGTTAATGATACACGATCTGTTTTCTGTTCTTCGACACCTTTATTCGATATGGATAAATAACTTTTCGAGAAACATTTTGATTTGACAATATTAATCATCGTACTCAGATATATTTTTGATTTACTAGAATCGTCCATAAACGAAATAAGTTCACTAATGATGTTTATAAAGTTTATAAATTTATCATCCGATATCCAAAAGTACATACTTGGTGTTATGATTATTATAATTGGAACGTATCGATCAATTACCCATGTGCAACCGATATGCAAAAATTTTTGTTCTATGAAACTGAAATTGAAGACCGATGTAGCCAGTACAGCAAACTCAGGTTGAGATTGATTCCGAATAGTCAATCTTATATCTTTTCCTCACGTAGTCATTTTCATCATGTTCATCTTGAATAGCATACTGTTATACTTCACTGATTACGCACAAATAAGAAAACAGTTATAATATGATTGATTTTCCACAAACGAATGTGTTATAAACCAACTTTGAATAATAGGAGAGGGGGGAATACACACATCTATGAAGTGAGAAGTGCTGATTTCAAGGTAAATTATCATAAGTGAAATATCAAAGGAATTATGGTTTTTACACTAGAATGAAAACGTATATATAACAACTATTGATGGAGAGAGAAAATAATATTTCAGAGAACACATAAATAAATTGATTTGGGTGATATCAAGTGAGATACTGATTGATACGCTAATTTAAATGTTGATGGAGGTGTTATATTAAATTAATTGTTATCAAATTGTTTCACTGATAACCAACACACACCTTTCGATTTCTTATTTTGATAAGAACGGGAGGCTTATAATGAGATTAGTGAGACGCTTTTTAAGTGGTAAGGGTGGCGCAAAATGAGTCGCATATGAGCATTATAATATCTTTGATGATGGAAATATGATTACCTAAGCGTCTGGTAGTCGATGATAGAATTCTTAGAAATTATAGCTATACATTTGATGGTATAGTAAAGAATAAAATGTGTAGGCGTGAAACACCATCAGTGGTGACATATTTTCTCATAAAATACATACGATAATCATTGTTACTGAACGGTGGTACCTTAGATGTTGGAACTATGCTTACCTAAGTGTCTGGTAACCGATTATAGCAATGTTCATATAAAAATATTTATCATAATTTCTATTTAACGTCTAATTTTAGAAGCATATTTAGCTACACCTATTCTCTACCAGTCCGGTCGGATGGTGGGCGGTGTGAGGCGGCGGCGTTCGTTTAACGATATATGTGATATAGCAATGTTTTATGGATCAGTAGAGTAATGTTTAAAATATTGTATAAAATACATACGAAAATCATTGTTACTGTACGGTGGTACCTTTGATGTTGGATATATGCTTACCTAAGCGTCTGGTAGCAGATGATAAAATTCTTAGGCATTACTTGTACATTTGATGTTGGAAACATGATCACCTAAGAGTCTGATAGCCGACAATAAAATTCTTAGAAATTATTTGTACATTTAATATTAATAACACACAGACAGCAACGCAATTGTTCTCATATAAAATAACAGACGCTTATGATCATTATATTACAATTATACCTTTGATGTCGGAAATATGCTTACCTAAGCGTCTGGTAGCCGATGATAAAATTCTTAGAAATTATAACGCCATAACGACAAACGATACCATTGTTCTCATAAAATTCATACGATAATTATTATTACTTATGACGACATCTTCAATATTAAAAAAATATGCTTACCTAAGCGTCTGGTAGTTGATGGTAAAATTCTTAGAAATGATTTGTACATTTAATAATACAGCGTCCCATAAAATTACAGACGCTTATTAGCGATATAATATTATGATACCTTTGATGTCAGACATATGCTTACCTAAGCGTCTGCTAGTCGATGATAAAATTCTTAGAAAACATTGGGTTTCATCCTCTCCCTCCCCCCGCATTAGGTTAGTTTACATAAGGTTTCGTCCTCCCATTGCATTATGTTAGTTTACGTTGGGTTTCATCGTTCTCCCCCACCATTACATTAGGTTAGTTTACGTTAGATTTAATCCCCCCGTACACTTCCTCCACCGCAAGGAAGGTGAGTGGGTGAGGCGGGGGGGGCCCAGCTCTCTCCAAATTACCCTACTCATATTATTATTTTTTTTTTAACTTTGTCTTACCAACTAAATTATCCATCAAGATGGATCAAAATGAAAAAAATTGCACACGGCCATATTTAAGAATAGTAAATATTAAATAAATTCGATTTTTTTTGTTTAATCTCGAAAGTTTTAATAAAAAAAAAATGAAATAAACATCGTCTAAAACCTTTTCTTTACTGCATTCTGAATATATGGTGGAAAAATGATCGTAGAGTAATGCAACCAAGAGAGAGTTTAGAGTTTTTATCCCATTCCCCCGAAACAAAAGATTCTTGTGCTATAGTCAGAGACAGTGTTGTAACCAAAAAAAGGATATCTAACGAGATTATAGATACATTCCATTGGCCAATTATTATTATTGGCAGTATAAGGCTTTAGCGCTAGTAGGAGTATGTGATAAGCCAAAAAAAAAAAACAAAAATATCAAGTATGAAATTTTTTTTGTCCATCGCTTTTATAAAATAAAAAAAAAAGGCAATAGATTTTTTAATGACTATAGTTTTACTTGCACGGAGTAAGAATTAATATATCCTAGAACTATTGAATCATAATACGATTTCCTTATCACATATATTATAGCAAAAAATTTAAAAATAATAATAATAATATAACATTTAAATAATTGTAACTGAAGTGAATAAGATGTAATACGTTGATAAAATTAAATATATCTAATAGATGTGTAAAAGAACTCATAATAAAGTTTTACACAAAACGTATATTTGTTTTAAGGATTTTATTATATTAGTGTAGTTGATAATACATTAAGAGCATAACGCATAAATTTATTAAAATAGGTTTATTTTAAATTAAAATTTTTCTTTAGTATTTAATTAATTTCTTTTTTTTTAATAGTAAAATTAAGTCATTGTTAAGGCGCCAGCGCCTATTCCAAATCCACAACCTTTAGGTCCAAAATGTTTACTGTAACATGCTTTGCAATAGATATCTGCATCTGGACCATCGGTTAAATTAGTAGAGTCCAAAGATTTACTGCAGCTACCACAAGTAAAGCATCTTCTGTGCCAGACTTTATTTTTACTAATCATTTGTTCAGCAGCGTAAACTTCATATCCACACCTTGGGCATCCCTTACCATTTCTACTTTTTATTCCTGACGTAGGTCTAGATTCTGGGCTATAAAAAAAGGTGAACATGTAAAATGAATTACTAATTTCAAGTAAAATTAAATATTTACAATAAAATTGTGTTTTCTCCTTTTGTAGAAATCAAAGTTGGTGAATGTCCATATCCAAAACCTTTTGGTCCAAAATATTTGCCATAACATGATCGGCAATAAATTTCTCTGTCTGGACCATCACAAGCTAAAGTAGAGTCTAATGGCCGATGGCAAGCTGCACAATTGAAGCAAATTTTATGCCACATCTAAAATTAAAGTTAATAATAAAAATTTTACTTAAGATATACTCGTAACACAAATATTTTTAAAGTTTATAAATTTTAAAATGAATGCAAGTATAATATAAATAACGTACTGTTCCTTTAGCGAGTTGTTGTTCAGCAGCGAAAACTTTACCTCCGCATCTTGGACATCCTTCTCCTTCGGGAGCTAAAATAGACGTTGTGTTTGGACTGTAAAATGGACGCGAAGCAGATATTTGGTCCTCTCTGTATACATAATAGTTATTTAATACAATAACCTTTTTAAATTACTGATTAATATCTTATAGGTCCTTTAATTTTTACTGTGATTACTGAGCATGATAATAAAATTTGTTTAATATATTTTGCTCAACATCTAGAAAATGTGTAAAAGTAACTAAAATATTGGTGATGCTGAACAGGAGTGGACTGAGACCTAAAGGTTTAGATGGAAAAATGTTTAAAAGACACTTTTATGAATGCAAAGGGCTTTTGTTTTTGCTCATTGGATCAACAAGTATAAGAAATCTTTCTTAATATAATTTTTCTTTTATTAAAAATTAAACTCTAGATTATAATAACTTTGTCTTTCTTTTGCTCATAAACAAAGTTCAGAACTTCATGTAACACACAGCACCAAAAAATGTACATTAGAGACATGAAATATATAGAGACATATTTTTTTCCTAGAACATAACGAAGTTCCTGTGGTATTATACCTATAATACATTTTTACAAATTAAATGTCCTAGAAGTAGTCTAGTTTATGAATAATTATACAAATTTATTACTTGTGGCTAATATTATTTAAAATTAAAACAATATTAAAATTATTTTTAATTTAAACTAAAAAATTGCGACTTTTTAGTAACATTTTTGTGGCTTTTTAAATATAATATATTTTAGTATTAAATTAATAATATTTTTAATATAGTTTTAATTTTTAATTTTTATAAATGTTTGTAATCCTAAGTGTGGTTCATAAATAAAAAAAAATTTTTAATTAAAAAATAAATCATTTGCCGACTATTCGGCTATTTGAGGTCCAAGTGTAGCAATTTTAAAGGACCCAGGTGGCGATCATATCAGTTCGTGCCTGATGCTGAACATCCTTTAGCATTCTCATATATGTACCTTGGCATAAGATTGTTTTTTACTTACGTTAAGCCGTCAGTTTGAAGGAAACCAGATCCACAAGCAAAACCATATCCATGAGGACCCCATTTTTTACCATAACATGTTTTACAGTATACATCACGATCTGGTCCATCACAAGCAATAATTGAATCCAACGTTTTGTTACAATCCTTGCATTTGAAACATTTTTTATGCCATTCCTATTCAATTATAAGATTTTTAACAACCCAATCAGAATAATATTGCATAAGTGTACTCATTACAAAATAGCTTACATATAATTATTAAGTAGAACTAACTTTTTTCACATTGTTTTATTTAAGATATTATATATTTTATGCAATTAAAAAATAAAACTAAGTTAAAGTTTTATTAGTTTTTTATTACAGAGAAAAACAAATTTATTTTATTTTAAATAATACATACGCTTCCTTTAGCTAAGACTTGTTCAGCAGCAAACACTACACCTCCACAACGAGGACAACCTTGACCAGGTTTAGCTTTTATTGAAGTAGTATCAACAACAGGCGCACGAGATGTACTGACATCCCTAAAAAATCAAAAATAATTAATTGAAATAACCAATAAAAACATTATTTTAATATTTCGAATATTTTGTAAATTTATATTAATACTATCAAGTTTAATCTCATAAATATATTGATTATTAAAGATATTTGTAGCAAAGTAGGGTTGTTGTTTTTTTAGAAACATGCTATGAAATTATAATTTCTTATGACATTTTGAGGTTTACACAGAATGTACCTTTCAATTTCATCGTTCAGGTCACACGTCAAACCAATTGACTGACCTCCTGTTCCACTATGCCCTATACCTCTGGGTCCAAAGCGCTTCGAATAACAAACTATAGAAAACATATTGAAAATTTAACACTGACTTAAATTTGTTTTTGGTTATCAACCTTTATTTAAATGCTAAATAAGATCATGCTATTTAATATAAATGCTATTTAGTAAATCATGCAGTGGGAATATTATTATGATTTACTATAAGTTTTCAAATATTTAGTTAATTTGCAACTTTAATGAACTTAAATAAAATTTAGGCTCTCAATATTTTTGCACATAAAACTTTTACATATAGTTAGATATCTAATACCAAAATACATAAGTGATATAATTTTGCCTGTATAATACGCCGCATTATAAAATTAAATAGTAATACTTTAAAGTAATTATTTTTTAACATCTAGGTAGCCTGTGGATTTTCGTGAAAACATTCTGAGTCTGCGCCTGTATATTAAAACTTAATAAATTTTTTACTTTTTTTTAAGTACACGGTATTTAAATTTTTAAAAATGGTTTTCTTTCTGTATAGCACAAATACATATCTATTACGATACTATAGTAAAATAAATATTATGTGATATTAGTTTTACATTAAAATAAGTTATATCTACAAATTGTTATATTGAAGGCAATATCAAATATTGCAATAAAATTATTTAAATCTGGGAAATGCTATTATCAATTTAGGTAACTTTTTTTTAAAAAGAAATAATACTCAGCCTTGTATAATATATGGACAAAAAGTTTTTAATACATAGTAATAAGATGGTTTGTATTATGTTTCTGTGTAATGTTTATAAATGCAAAACTCAATTTAATACATACCCATTGTACGTAGGATCGCTTTGAAGTGCTCCTGCGCCTTGTCCATAACCATAACCTTTAGGGCCGAATTTCTTGCCGTAACATACTGATTAGGAAACGAAATGTGTTAATATCATGCAACGACAATTTGGATAAGTTAATTACCTTTGCAGTAAATATCTTTGTCAGATCCTTCGCAACAATTTACTGAGTCCAAACGTTTTGTACAAGTTGCACATTTGAAACACTCTTTATGCCAAGACTAAATTAAAAACAAAAATCAGCATTCAACACTTAAAAATTAAACGGCATTCCTCGTGTAAGTACTAGGGATTTGTAATAAAAAAAATCACATTAAGACAATGTTTTAAACAGGAACGTAGGTATTTCAAGTGAAATGCAGACAAAACCCTACCAATTTATGAATTACTGAAAAAAGAATATAATATTATAAAATACAATTTTTGAAAACACAAATATAAAAATTTTCATAGTGTTTGTTAGTTTATCAGTTATGATATTTTAAAAAGTAAAATCGTTAGGGTATAATTCGATACGTGCAATGCATTTAACAAATAGAAATTCAGATACATTGAGATTCAATCTTTACAACAGACTTGTTAAAAAATCATCAATCACCTCTACAATAAACTTCATTATTAGGTCCATCACAGTGTATCACTGAATTTAGTGTTTTATGACAGGAAATACAGTTGAAACATTCTTTATGGTATCCCTAGAATACCGTACCAATCATGTAATAATCCTACAGACTACATACAGGCATGTTGATAAGAAAGTCTTTTTGTTTTTGGTCGTGAACAAGATTGACTATTATACTTACTCTTCCTTTAGCCAACATCTGCTCAGCCATGTACACATATCCTCCGCAGCGAGGGCATCCTTCGCCTTCTGGTGCTCTAGCGATAGCCCGTGATTCTAATGGAGCTGCAGGTCTATGCATGACGGATCTATAAACGTAGTCAATCGTATAAATAAACATGTATTTTTAAATTTAATAATATTTTTTTTCGTAAAACAATTTATATATCTCAATTAAATTAGTAAATTAGATACCCAATGATAGTAGATACAATATACTAACTATAGTTTACGATAATTTATGATTAGTATTTGATTACCAGAGTCAAAGTAAAACAGTTGTACGATCAATTCAAAATAAAAGAAAAAAAATTGCAATTGTGTTTCATTAAAAACACAAATCTTATAAATAGTACCCAATTGTCAAAATTATTATTTTTATATCAAGAAAAATGTGGTAAAATTTAATAGAAATTTATTTATATAAGTTTTTCGCAATAAATAAAATTATATATATGTATGAAATTATGATTCATGAAGATCAAAAATTTGTGTAATTTTAATAAATCACTTAAAATAATGACATTTGAGTACTTTGTAAGAATCTTAAAACATGCTTCAAGTAAAAGAGAAAATTAAAAAAAAATGTTGTCAGTATAATTTTTTTTCTGTGAAATATTACTATATAAAGAGTTTATTGTAAACATTACATAATATGTTATAATGCAGTGATGCACAAATGCAACAAAAATTAAATAATTTTTCACAACCAATAATGACTCCAATCCAAAAGTGCAGCTAGCTGAAGTAAAATAAAAAATAAATTACTGTTTTTACCTTGTATAAATTTATACAAGGAAATAATATTTACAAACCATATAAATTCACCTCTCCGTAAATAATTTAGTACAGTAATGATTAACAGGGTTAATAGGTAATATTAATTGTGTTATAAATTGTAAAGAATAAGATATTAATAAGAAGTACAGTTTCAATATGTATTTGATTAAAATATTTATTAAAAGATGAAATAATTATTAGTTAAGCAGAAAGCGAAGTGTTCAATAACCGACTTAAGGTTATTGTAATTTGTAACTAAATTAAATTTATTCTCACCATTTAAAGTCCCTCGCAGGACTAGAGGAGAAAGAATGTCACTCCACGTACTTTTATTTACTTGAATCCTTTATCAGTTATTTGTAGCGTTTTAAATTTTTATTTTGGTATTTAACATTTTCAAAAATGTTTACACATCTGATGATATAATGAGATTTTATATTGGTACCTTAAGCGAGCTTCAGGCATAAAGACTAGGCATTTAAAAATAGCACAATTATAAAAATAAATGACGATTATTTTATTAATTAATAAATTAATATTATATTTTGATTCCTTTAAAGCAATTGGTGTTATTTTTGTACAAAATATGTATATAAACACATTTTTTAAGTGTGTAAGAAATTTGTTATATCTTATAATTAGCCAAAGCATCGCTTAAGCCACCTAATAAGTAATTTAAAAAATAAATAAACGATCGTAATTTAAAATTATATTATCAATTTAATGATAAATGAACAAAACAATTCTATACATGTTGCCTGTTTAATGTACATATAACTAAATGTATTGTAAATACAAGCTTGTATATTTATAAAATTAAATTTTAAAATGTATAAATTTAAACGAACAGAAATGAGAGGTGAAATTGTATGTATAAGCAAATATTAAAAAACGTTTTACTCTTGCATGCAAAAACAAACATAGGTTGATAGATAGGTTTATTTTCTTCAGGTGGTCAGGTATTAAATTGGGTTGGTTCTTCATTATAAGCTGTTAAAATATAAATAAAACATATTTACTTTACTATTTGAAATATTTTTTAAAAATACTCCTAAGCTGAGATTTCAATTCCCTATTGTGTTTATGTTTTATATGGCGTAGAAAATAATTTTAAATTAATTTTTATGAAATAACTCTCACATAAAAACTTAAGATATCGGTCAAAAAGTTTTCTCTAGCCTGTTAAACTCAAATCAATTTCTACTGTTTATTAAATGTTTATAATTATTTCTTTGAAAATTAGGTATATAGGTTATTTAAGTTCTTGTAATAGGTGTAAGTTAAATGAAGTTTTAAATTGACTTACACGTGAGCAAGATGATCACCAGTGTCAGTACTTAGGCAACCAGCACCACCACCGAAACCGTATCCTTTTGGTCCGTATTTCCTTCCGTGACAATTTTTACAATACAATTCTTTGTCGTGTTCGGCGCAGTTGGTTGAGTCCAAGAATTTACCGCACATTTCTGTTGATAAATTTAATGAAATTTTGAGTTAATGAGATGTATACATGTATTATTGTTTTTTTTATTATTACCACATTTGAAGCACATTTTGTGCCATTTATGTCCTCCAGCAATACGTTCCTCAGCGGCGTATACGGATTTGTCGCATTTAGGGCATTTTGGGTGTTCGACTGGGACGAAAGGCATTTTGGTAGTTGATTATCAAAATTAAACTAAAAATGAAATTCTTTATTAACATTTGAAGTATTAACAGTTATATATATTTTTATACAATGTCCACATACATACAATATCTAAAAAGATATTTCGATAAAATGTTGTTTTTAAGTGGAAACTAGGTTGGCTTTTTTTTTATAATATTAGTTTTACAAAAATTAAAAAGATAGAAAATTTACTTTTATAAAAAAATCAATTTTAGGATAATAATGAAATCATAAAGAACTTATTATAGTTACTAAAATACTTTTATTATATATGTATATTTATTGATAGAGTTGTAATAAGTTTAAATACATTGTCGATTAATGTTCTATTTATAATTATTATTATAAATTTTTAATTTGAAATAATTATTATTTTATAGTATCAAATTATTGTTAGTGTTATTATTATTATAATTACTTCATGAAAACAATTTTTATTATTTTTTATATTTTATTTCGTAAATTATTTAATGAAATTTGTTAAATTTCATTAAAATATCGTAAAATTGATATATTGTTTTATATTACAACAGAACATTTAAATATAGATATGATTAAATAGCTAAAATAAAAACAATTAACTAAATTCTATATAAATCAACAAAATCTATTAGGCAGAAACTAAATACTTATAATGATGTATAAGAAAAGATATGCAGACATGTAAAATGACACGTCTCTCAAACTATAAGTATTTATAGCATTTGGCGAAGTCAGAATTGTACACAACTGGCAGCTAGCCATTATTTACTTCTGGATAGTTTAGATATACAACTATGACATATAGGTCATGATTTTTTCGAAACTATTTGAAGTTTGCCAGTGATGATATTCCTTGATTTAAAGAGAAAATTAATTAAACATTTTACATTCAGATATTCAAAAAAGAAATATAAAATTGTACTACTTTAACTAATTAAACAATTTTTTTTTAGATTTATACGAAGTTTGTTAGTTACAAATTTTGAACGCAATGGTTTAAAATGTAGCAATTTAAATAGTCAAAATATAATCTTGAAATGATACTCTTATAACTGAAGCACAAACAGTTTTATTTCATGTTTTCGTATGACCGTTAAAAAATTAATGAGTTTTAATTAAGTTTGATTGTATGTGACGATTTGTGAATTATTCTAAAATCTAAAAATACTGAAGCAATTTAACTAGTACTCTAACAGTATATAATAGTAATAAAACCACGGCAAATAATGTCCATCTATTTCCTTTTATGGATGTAAATAAAGAAAAAAATATCATTGACCTCCAAAGAACCATTTTTGGGGACTTTTAAATACATTTATTGAAACTTGATTTTGAAAGTATTACAATTGTTGACATACAAAAATGTGATAGTTAGTGTTTTAATACTAAGTTTTTAAATTCATTTTAAATGAAATAACTAAATTATAACCAACAAATGCATATGATTGACAATATTTAAATATTAGTTGCTTTTAATAAATATTTTAACTAATATTATCTTTTATAACTCCTTGCTTATAAGAATAGTTAATAATTATATTTTTCATATAATTAAAATAAAATAACTCGTTATAAGATAATTTTAATTAAAAAACACATTAATCCAATACCAATTGTCTCACAGCTATACAGAAAAATTAAATTACTATAAAAACTAATTGATATTTGTTTTCATAATTATAGTTAGTGTATAAAAATCAAACTTTAATTTCAATTATAGTTAATGTATAAATTAACATTTAATAACTTTTCCCTATGTAACTTTACGAATTGATCTTACCTTAAGAGAAAAGAAGAGTATGTACTGGCGTGTTCAGCTTCGCTTTTGTAAATGTTCTCAAATTATACTTAATGTGTAGTAGTGCTTTTATCCCTACTACAGTATTGCACACGGCACATTTGCTCCGCCTTTTTAGCTACTCCTACGCAAATTTAATATTCCTTAATTCCCCGCAGAACTTATTCGGGATAAAAATTGTGTTTAAAAAACAAACAATTTTACCATATTTTCACTTACACTTAAAAACTATTGCCAATATCAACAAAAAAAAAAAATTTATTGTTATTAATAATTTTGGGATCATATTCTTCCAAAAAATTTACTTGAGGATTTTATGGTTCAATTTAAAAATATATAATTATGAAATAATATCAGTTGGTAAAAAGCCATTAAATATTATTTTAGAACTTTCTTGACTCAATTTTTAAAATTAAAACTATTACCCTCACCGGACACCCATTTATTTTGTTTTGGTTTATTTAAAGAACTTATTACATAAGTATACTATGTAAAAGAGCAAACGGTATAGCAATAATTAAACGTAACTGAAAAGTAAAGTGTGTATATAACATTCCTGTATAATACAAAACAAGTAGCCTGAAAAATGTTTTTTTAGAAAACATAAAAATGATTCATTACTGTATATCAAACAAATAATCATATATAATATTTTTACATTTTTTATGATAAAAATCATTGTAATACAAATTAAATATTTTACTTAATTTTAAATATAAAGTCAATATTTAAATAAAATTTACTATAATTAATAAATAATTAAAATTGTCAAAAATATTCCTTATTTAAAATATATATAGAAAAATTAAACCACTAAATTTTAAAACTATTATAATATGTTTAAAAGAAAATTATTGAAGTCCATTAAGTTGATGTTTAATGATTATTATGATCTTGTTAAATATATTTACTAAAGTAAAAGTTGATTAATTTAAAAAAAAAATGTGTACATGATGCAATAAAATGTAAAACTTTGACTTCATAAACATACTGCAAATACATATAAAAAAAGAATATAGACATGAGACTATAGCAGCAAACAAAGTTCTCAGTACAACAACCAGACAAGTCCAATTATTTTAAAAATAAAATTTTTGTTGGTTTCAAATTATTTGATTTTCAATGTACTTTAGTACACAATTAGGTTTTATATTCTTTATAATTTAGAATAACAATTATACCATACTCACTAATGAAAAAATGTTGAGTAAATTATTTCTCTTGATAAATGTCTAAGAGTAGATTTATATGGTTGTTACACTTAGTCATTCAAATTATGTTTTATTATTGATTCGAAGATATTTATCATATTCATTATAGTAAATTATAGTAAACTTAATATAAATTCAACATATATAATGAATTATATAGTCAAATATTCAGCCTAACATTGATTGGGGCGCAACTAGACCAAAATGTCTGAGGGTGCTAAAAGAAGATGTGAAGAAATGACACAGACCTGTAAGAGGTGTGGGCAACGAAGCACTCATAATATTTCTGCTAACATAGGTATGTGTAATGAAAATAAAAATTGCTATCATTATACAATGTAATGCAATCATACAATCAACAATCATTATCTGCATACGTATATAAATATATTTGGATGTCTAAGTTAACGTGGCAAAATACAACATTTTTGTTTGAATTATTCTAAAATTATAGTTTTGACAAAAAATTAAATAAATAAAAATTACATAAATTATTGCTTAAAGTTCTTAATGATGTATCCATGTTTATAGTTGAGTTCTGACGTTTCTGACTCATGGCAGAGTTTCTGTTAGAACTCAACTGTAAACATGGATACATCCTTAAGCACTTCAAGCAAAAAAATAATCCATGAAAGCTTTAACACATTCATATATCAATTATATCAATATTTGAACGACAAAACCAAGAAATGCATTCTAATTTTCTTTAGGGGCGCTATAATCCTCCCTAACACCCCTCTAGTTGTGCCTATGAAGTAAGAAATTCTTAAATTATAGCTAAGTATAATTTTTTTTGTTCATCAGTTAATTTTGAATAATTTTACTTGAAAAAAATATACAACTTAAAAAAGATTTCTGATTATATCACTGGACGTTTTTAAAATGTAGCTCTAATAATATTATAATTTTCGACTAAGAATCTCAAATTTCGCTGCCAACTTTATATTTTTTATTCGCCATATTATCAATAGTATAAACAAAAATGTCTAACACCCTCACACCAATTAACTGAATTAATATCAATTTATAAAAGCCGTCCTATTAAAGGGTCGACAATTTTATTTTAGCCTACTAAAGGTTATTATGTATTATTTACGTCTCTGTTATAATGATATTAAAAAATGATTTCAATGTTGTTGAAAAATAATTTTAAAAAATGTTTAATTGTAACTAGTTAGTTAAAATTAAAGTAAAACCTTATTCAAAAAAAGGTAGCCCTAAAACTTTTTTTCTCTGTAGTTTATTTTAATTAAAAATTTATGGAAACTTATAGAGTTCCATTTGTAAAATCTCTTTCGAAAATAAACTATAATTATGAGCATCTTTACATTAACAATTAGGAATTGAGTGTAGTTTTCGATTTTGTTCTTAAGATATCTTATAAAAATCAAATACATCAAACTATATTAATAAAAATAAAGTAAATATTTTATTTTATTCTCTCACTCAAGAAAAAAAAACGAAATAATCATTAAAATTTTAGTTTTACAGTGTTTTGAAGATCAAATTTGACATCATTTAATGTACCAAATTATAAATGATGAAATTTTAAAATTATCATGTATTATACAAAACATATTTATGGTTGTAAACATTTCTATATATACCATAGTATTCCTATTTTGACAATAACTCATTATTGTTATAAAAAAATCATTGTCCCATTTTTTATTTTTTTAGTGTCTTTTGACCTTTTGTTATGTATAGAAAAATAATTATAAATACATAGCACTTTTATTCCTGTGACTTATTGCAAGTTTATTGTTGACGATCAATTTTTGATGATTTTCTTGATTTTTTAGTTAGTTAAATTTCGAGCTGAGTAGAGGCTCATTCTCCTAATCCTTTCCCCTACATCTATGACACATAAATACATACAAATACATTTAGTATTGAGGCGCCGCATATAGTATGATTTTACCGGATCGAATTTGATCCCCAGTCCATCGTTGAAGAGCACTTCTGGTATCCTCACACATGTCCATGTAAAAAATAATTTTTATCATGGACACAAAAATTATTTCAGAAATTCAAATAGAAACATAACCGTTAGTTTTATGAAGTACTTATAAAAGTTATGACAATGTTGCTCATTCAGTATTATGTAATCGATAAACGTTTATAATAACGCAACTATGTAAATAATAGTTTACACTGTTTACAAATATTTATAAATAATATTTTAATGACATTAATTAATTACTTAACTAGAGTATAAAAATATTTATTGATAAATAAATAAAAAGTTTATGTTAAGAAACTTTTTTGATATTAGTCATGGAACCAGTGGTGCAACTAGGAAAATTAAAGGGTTATAATCCTCCCACCCTAAATGATATGGGATGTTTCAATTTTTAGTTGTAATAACCTTTATTTTTATTACTCGTTCAAGTTTTCTAAAGATCAAAAAAAAAAGTAATACTCACCCACAGGAAATTACATTCTGGTCACGCCATTGCATAGAATTAATATGCTGTCTAATTTATTATTAACTGATACAAATTCATTAGAAAAATGATTTTAGCATTTAGCCGGTTCGCTAATTCTAATAAAATTTATATTTTTGGCCTGCTCAGCGCTAATAAGATTGAAAATAATGAATCAATTGTAGGGCGTTGACATATTGTTTTTTTAAAATCACCTGCGCGATCTTTTTAATTTTTCAAATTCTTGGCAAACAATGTAAGGTGTATGCGTGGAAAAATAATTTCTTAATCTATTTCCGTCCAATGATACCTTATGTATATGCGTGGGTGGCTCAAGGATTAATAAGAAGAACGGAAGAAAGGAAAAAATCAGAGGGAACATAGTTTTATAAAGTTTATAATATAATATGCCAAAATAAAACGCGACCTCCTTATCTAAACGACCGAAATAGGACACGTTCTGAACCTGGCCAAAACGACGCGATACGATAGAGTCAATATAAGATAAAATTCTTACTCTTATGAGTCTCTCGTCTATTTTGGTTTTCAATTCCGTCCGACGATATGATGACTTACCATCTATTTTGAAGAGGTGTACTTTGGTTAAAAACATTTAACCGTTCATAAATCATAATTATGCAATGACAGTGCAGTGAAGATTTTATAAACAAGAGAAATATTATTCTCCCTCTTTAGAGCCTTGAGTAAAATTATATCTATTATTATTCTATTTATAGTAACTAAATATTATCATAAGTATTGACTAGCAAGGATATTTTCCTATTATGGTTATAAGTAAGTACTTTATGGGTTATACTGTTCACTTGATTAATCAGGTCATTAAATATTGCTCAGACATAAAATTGTGTGTATTTTGATGTTTATTTTCACAAATTTATTTATAGGGGCTTTTCATGTAATTAACAAAATTGTGTCAATAAGCAAAATAAGATAAAATAAACAAATATAAACAAATTGCTTAATTTTGATGTGACTGAGGGAAATTAACCACTATTAAAGCTTTTATTTCACTAGTGAAAACTGGTATCATTTTCAAATTAAGAGAAACGGGAAAAAAATTGATTAATAAATTATTTAAAAGTCTAGCTTAAAAAATAAAAATAAATAAAACTTATTTCCTTCGTTTTTTTTTTTTATGGTTCCGTTTATAAAAAATATGAACCAAAATATAATAGCATCATAGTATGACAATACAGGTTGTTGTCAATTCATGTATTTAATATTTTAAATGTTTGGATTTTTTTTTTATAAATGTTTTAGTTAAGATGTTTATAAAAAAAATTTATATTACATGTTGACTTTAAATTTTAAATCAGAAGAAAGTATAAAAATAAGGTAACATATATGTTCATTAAGTAATAATAAAATGTAATAAATACATTTATTAATAAATTTTATATTTACAATAATTCGAATGGCCACTATTAAATATTTAAAATAATAATTGTATGATTTAGAATAATAATT